AATGAATTGTAACATCGATTCGCCTTGTGCCGCTCATTCGCTTTTATTACCAATCTTGTTTCTTCGAGGGGTTTATTTGTTCTTGTAATTTTTATCCGATCACAGAGAAAGAGCTCTTTCTCTTCAGAGAAAGAGATAATATACGCGGCAGTCGACGACCCGGAAGAATATTTGAGAAATATTAGAGAAGTTACGTTATTTGTGGATTACGTTGCGGGGATGTTGGAGGGATAAAACTGACAGGTGTCTCATGGAAGATTTCAAACGTATCAACGAAACGATGTAGTAAGAATTTAAATGTTAACTGCAGACTTTACGAAATAAATCCTGTAACACCGCACGGGTGTAAAGTACGTAACAACAGTATAGGATTTTGCTCTGCAAAAAAATGGAACATGCAAAATATTTTGACGTACAGATGATAGAATCATCATTCGTTTTTTTTTCTGGTTTAAAGTTATGTAGAAATCGCAAGAGAACATTAACGTGTGAATGTCAAGTTTTCAAACGTGCCTATAAATATTTAATTTTCAATGCATAATTTTTTCGTAGATATTAGTTCGTAGATCCGTCGTTTCGCTTTTTTTTTCAATCAACATTATAAATAAAAGGTTTCTTTACTTTTGCCACTGGACGTAACGCTTATTGTTAGTAATAATAATAAAACACCGCGCTCCTTTTACATTTTGTATGCAGTAAAATAACTTATGAAAGTTTCATATACATTCACTTTGGCCCATTACCTTGTAACTTGTGTTTAGCGGATCGGCCGTGCTAAATTAGATTTCGTTCACAAGAATGGAGATTTACACGTTGTCTCGCCCCAGGAAATGACATTGTTCACCCTATTCATCCCTATTGCGCGCGCGCTAATTCCAGAAGCAAGCGATACACCGCAATGACTCCTCGCCGTTACAGACACCCGGTATAACTGTAAAGGGAGCAAAGGCGCGCGAATAAAGTCGAGGGTTGCGGCGCACGTGGAAGGAGGAGAGAGAGAGGACGATAGGGAAAGGGCAGACAGAGGTGGATCTTGAAGAGACTCGTAGGAGGAATCGCGAGGGGGTTGAAAAAAGTCGCGTTCTCCGAGGAAGTTAATTATGATTATTACTGTTACGCTTGGATATTTCACGTGTCGCGTTGCGAGATGATATTTCGAGCCTTCGGGAGGACGTCTTACGGAGGGGCGCGTTCGAAGAATTGTTTCAACCTCCGTTTCCTCCCTGGATCCGTCCCTGACGGTGAAGAGGTGGCTATCGCGAGAGAAAGGGTAGGGAATGGTATCGAAACGTGGCGAGGGAGAGACGGGGACCAGCGAGAGGGAGAGAGAGAGGGCGGTGGGGGGGGGGGGGGAGCGAGCACGCGAGCGAGAGAGCGAGAAACCGAGCCGCGTATCGATCGGCCAGCAGAAAACTACCCCCTAGCAGGGGGAGACTTGGCGGTGTGCGAGAGAGCGCTCACGTACGAGAGTAGTCAGTGGGGTGCTCTCTCGCGGTGCTCGTGGGCCCACGCGGATCCCTCCTGTTCCTCTTTCACGTAGAGGCACGTATCTCGCTCGTGTCCCGTTCGCCGTCGACGCGGCCCAACGTCGTCTCCACGTTCTCGCCGTCCACGTCGGCGTCGCACGCACCAGGCCGTGCATTTTGGGGGTGTTGCGTTCGGTGTTACGCGCCGGAGGGCCGGAGCGCTCAGAGGTGAGACACAACACGTCCTTGTCGCTCTATGCACGCGCGGACCCGTTCGCCAGCCACCGACGCTACCGCGTTGCGTTTCGCGTTGCGTTGTTATCGCGGCTGGCGGGTCGTTCCTCCCCGGCGCGAGGACCCGCTGCGCCCGCGATTCGGGGTATCGCGTGCGGTGTGACGCATATCTTCCGGAGCGACGTGTCGTCCCGTCCGCGGACTATGGATGACACACGAGGCGAGGTTGCCGCTGGGCACAGCGAGCTCGGTGACTAGTAGAATCCGCGATCGCTCTGCCGGGGTTGTAACACTCGGGGCCGAATCCACTAACGTGGCTGTCTTCGTCTGCCTACGTCCGTGATCGGAAGGGTCGGGTCCCTCTCCATAGATCCATTTTTACCTGACAGCACTATACTGTAGTTGCCCCGTATTGTAGAGCTACGTATATAGCTCTCTATATTCTGTGCTACCACCCGGCGCTACCTACTACAGTAACTCTTATCCTTTTCGGTATCGTGTACTATACCCGCTCGCGACCTACGTTATAGCCCTTCGTGCTACACGTCCAAGTCATTCCGGCCGCGTATTATAGCCTCCTGCGAGTTTCGACTGCAGTTTTTACCGCAGCTTTATCTTATCTTATCACCTCTCTTCTCGCATAAATTTCCTACTTGAATTTCATCTGATGGGATTATTCTACTGTTATATTATACGACTCTATATTTCACCATTCAGTACCGCACTGCCATCTATTCTTTCAATATTATGCGTCCCACTGCCGTTCGTTTATTTATTGCCATAAGCTCTACCGTTGAGGTAACAAAACGTTAACGGAAGAGTGCAAATACTCGATACCGTGCAGTCAGCACGTCGCTGGTCAAACTGTCGTGTCGCAAGAAAGTCGTGGGACGTTAACCGTAGCTGCCGGACTGTGTCAGTAATCCACCATCTTCCCATCCAGTCGCCCACTTACCGAATCTTGTCTCCTCGTCTCTGTCGATTTACCTCGAGGCTCTCTTGGAGTTACGATCCCGGGTCAACCGTACTTGTGACGAAACTCCTGCGATTATCACGGGCTCGGCCTTCCCGGGCTTAGTAATAAAAATGTCGCGTTCATCAGCGCGTACGAAGGGAATTTCGACGTTACGTCGCGGTGCCATCAATGCGTGCTATTCTGGAGGTTCGCCGTATAAGCAGCGGCTCCTCTCGTTAATAGAGCGTTTATTCACTTCGGAGAATTCCGCTGCCGGCACGTCAAGCCTCGATTCCACAATCGACGAGGATCGCTCGGGAAGCGTTGTCGTCGGCCGCGATGATTTCTCGCGACGACCCCCTGCGAGTGGAAAGTGCGCGTGAAGAGTTCGGCTCACCTTCGGCTGGTGTGACGAGATTAATTGATCGCCTAAGACTCCGACGACCTGTGCTGGTCGGAATCGCCGACCGCTCGGGTCAATTATGGACTTTGCGCCTGCTTGTAGAGCTTCTCCGGCTCGATACGTGTGCCTTCAAGAAATTCGCGCACTCTAAGGAACTATATTTAGCATCAAGAATTATTTGACGCCAGTACACGACTAACAACAATTAAGCTTCCAATCGACCACAACCGGCAACGTGTTTTTTAACACCGAAAATTTATTGCGAAAAATATTACCTCAGCCAGGATTTGAACCCGGACCTCCCTACACTCTAGGCGGGCGTCTCACCAATTTGACATATTATATGCCTCGGTGGTCGAATTGGTGTGACGCTCGCCTAGAGTGTAGGGAGGTCCAGGTTCAAACCCTGGCTGAGGTAATATTTTTCGCCATAAATTTTCTGGGTTAACAAACACGTTGCCAGTTATGGTCGATTGAAAGCTTCATTATTGTCAACTATATTTATGGGAGACTTGTATTGTTGCATCCGTGGGACCTGTCGATCTTTCGCGGCGCATAAACGGGAAGAATAATCTCTTAAAATTTACCTTGAAAGTCGTGTAGTCGTGGGGCGACGTGTGGCATTTTCAACAACTGTATTTTTGAAACTTTGCCATACATTTTACTAGTAAGAGAAAAAATTCTCTCCGTGTGTCAATCGTGTTCGATTGTTACAGATTTGGCGTTTAAATATCTCGCGATCGTACTTAGGACGCTCCTGTTACGTAAAACTGTTCAACTCGGTTAGCCTCGTGGAGTCTATCGATAGGAGTCTATCGGTGCACGGCGTTTGCACTCTCGTTGAAATCCGCCGTGGGTTTTTTTGCAGTACACATCTCGTTGCCAGAACTCCATTATATTACACGTCTTGTCTTCGCGCGAGAGATCCGTCAGCGAGAGAAATATGTCACTTATTATTAATCGAGCAATTTCCCTTTAATAGATTCATCGTTAGGTTTCGCGAATAAAATTTCTGTATTGCGCCGGACATCTCCGCGTATATAAATTTATCGACTCGCGGTATTGCCTTTATTAAGGCGACGCGGTGACTCGCTCTATTGTTAAGCCCATCCCGTGGATTTATCATTCATAAATTTTTAAAATGTATACACTTCCTCTATTTTTATTGCGACATTTCTGCACGCCAGCCTTCACGGGAGATCGATATACGCAGGCTGCATTAATAAGCGCACGCATTACTTGCCGTAACGAGACTCCCAATATAGACACCGGCTCATCGATCGGACCATAGAGCGACGGAGAGAAGTTCTATGACTTGCGCCCGACGGATTTAAATAAGTTACGAATTTGCAGCGCATCGCTCGCCTTCGCGAGCGGGTTGTTATTAGAAATTTACGCGCTTTCCCACGCGTAAAATTCGGCGACGTTACTCTCGACGCTCCCGTCGCGCTGAAGCCGCTTCGGAAGTCGCGCGTGAGGGACCTATCGATGCGTGCCGTCCGTTAAATAAGAGCACGCATTACTTACTCTCATTAGAGCCTGTTAAGAGGTCGGGTCGGCGGCGCGTTACGACGTTTACGGCTTGCGCGCGTGAGATCATCGCGAGGGCCGTCGCCGTCGCCCTCCGCCCTCCGCGCGGCACCTGCACGATCGAGCCGCACGCGAGGCGACCACGGGTGGTTACATCAGCGACGAGTCATGATGCTGGAAAAGACGACGTGTACGGTCGATCGATAACATTGAAAATCATCCCGCTCGCCTTGGCGAGCGTCCAGCAGCCGTCGCCGACCGTAGATTCGAAACTTTCGTTCCATTTTTTTTCGGCGCGCCCGCTCCCCCTGTCTTTCTCCTTTTTTTTTCTTTCCTCCGTACGAATCCCTTTCTCTCTATTCGATTCGCGCTCGCACGTGCAACCTGTCTGACTGTCCCGTTTCTGTTGCAGTTCGGGACGATTTGCGCGTGATCCGGTAGGCAACGACGCGACATCACCATGGCGTTCGCCGGGCTCAAGAAGCAGATCAACAAAGCGAATCAGGTAAGCATCCGTCGTGGAAGCGCCTTATTCATCTCGGCGACTTGACAATGGATCTTTCCACTGCGCGGGATCAATAATATCTTTTCCGTGGAATAACAAGTTTGCAAGCGGAAGTTGGACTTTGGAGAGCGAAATAACTTGCGAAATATCTTTCCACATTATTTGAGATATAATACGTTGAAATATTTTCTTCGATATTGAATATTAATAATAACAATTCGGTACGCAGCGCTGACGGAAGGAATTATTTATCGTCCGAAGATTCGCCTCGCGCGTGGATTATTTCTTTTATCGAGGAGCTTGTCGATTTCTTTTAGCGGCTGCCTATGTCGGTAGCGCACCAGTTCGCGTAATTAAAATTCGATTTTCTCCCTTCGCGAAATTTTATTTTAAGGGGTTTCAGTTGTTCCAATTTAGCTAGCTTTTTTTCATTCGACGATAATACGCCGTTTCGACCGTCGGCATTTAAAATCCCACGACAGAGAGGCCTGTGACCAAGGGGGTGAACCACTAGCTAAAATGTTGTCCCACCGATTACATGATTTCATTTTATTTCATCTCATTACAAATAAGCTCACCTAATTGCAAATAATTGTCTCTTATACGCACGTTTAAAAATATGTGAGGTTAAACCTGAAAGAGCCGTTAGATTTCCTCAAAATATATTTTTCTTATTTTACTGAGGAGTATTTGCTCGCAGAAGTAATTTCAGTTAAGATTGCAGTATTCGGTTAGGTAGAAAACGTGTTTCCTTGCTTTGTACGTACCGTTTATTGTTCCAAATTTGCGCGCAAAGGTGTATCAACGTTTCAACTCGCCGTTGTTCTAACAGCAACTACTTCAGTCTTATTATGAAAAGAATACGCGCTTATACTCTGGGGAAAAAAAAAGACAGTTAGCAATCCATGTTGGGGCCCGCAATTAGCAATCGAATTATTTGGATCACCGTTAAGCTTAAAAAAATAAAATGTACACCATCATTCGCGTTTGCAAAAGCAAATATTAATATTTTAACGCATAACAATATGCGTAAATAATATTTCACGTGTAATAATATTACAACGAATTATATTGTTACGTGCAAAAATTTTTTTAGCGTGTTTTACACGTAATATTTCGTTTAGCAAACTTTAACATTTTCTTTAGAACTTTGAGACGGTCAATTTTAATTTAATTAGTCTTACTTTGCACGTATTGATGTAAAGCATAAACCGTAAAAATTTGAAACAATTCTCACGTAAATGATTTTACGAAATAACTACTTTAACCAAACGGCCTGCGACTTTTCTGCGAGAGCTACGAGTTGCGTATACGTTTCTCTTGCGAGTGGATCCAAGAATCTAGGGCCTGCCTACTGTGGGAAGGGTGTTCATTCTCATTTGACTAAACGACAAGAAGTTTTGCGCGTTTGCTACACTTGATTTAGTGCTCGGGATGCGTTAAGGGTAGCGTCGCACGCACGATTCGCCGTATTCATTATGCGAAACACCGTTGCAAAGTTTAATCGTTCGCATTAACGACGACGCTCGGGCCACGTTACGCCAATTACCGGGCGATGCATTGCTACTTAGACGTCGCGAACTTTCGTCTGCCAACGCCGTCCGTTCCCCGCGAAATGCTCGGTGTCTTAATGCGATTACGCGTCGTCGGGAAACTCGCGATGTTCGCGTAACGCAGCCAGAATCTCGGCATTACCGCGATGTTCCCCGCAACAGCTAATGCAATCGAGAAAACAAGCAAACGAGCCCGATGCTCTCCGAAATTCGTGGGACGCGAAGCGCAAATTAATTGCTATTAATTATTGTTACGTGAAATATAATCATGTGAATTATCTTTGGCATCGGCGGGATCGATATTCCTCCCCCTCCCCCCTCGACATTCCTCGAGAATTCCCGGTGTATGTATGGGAATTTTATTATTGGGGAATCTCGCGCGATTTTCGAGACTCTCAGAATCTGGGGGTCTGGAATGCGTAAGACACGAGAGGGAGAATCCCTTAGCCGTAATATCGTAACAGTACATACTTTACAGCGACAGGAAAATATTGTTTTTTCCTCAGTAAATAATACACGTTTGTTTCTCCGCGTTAAAATACGAGTAATATATTAAACATGGAGGGAATGTTTTTCTTAAAATTTATTCTGAAAATCATGTAATCGTCGGACAACGCGGCATTTCGAGCAACTTTATGAGAGGTTTTTGAAATCTACTAGCGAAATGTATGGTAAAATTTCCAAAAACTCTCATACAGTTGTTCAAAGTGCAACATTGTCCCACGATTGCATGATTTTCGGGGTAAATTTTAACAGAAAATTCTTCCTCCCTGTTCCAACGAATTCTTCATTGTGATTCATCTGTTGGAATATTACTGACGAGGCCGAGTTTGACAACCGGTTGATGCGAGTTATCGTTTGGTCCAGCATGCTATATGCGGAGAAATTTCGTATCAACTGCAGTCGAGGGCATTATCACGCCGTCACGTTTAATCTTGAAATGACGGGCAGAGAAGCGCGGTCGCTGTTGCTCTCAATAATAAAGTCGCAACGAGACCGTGACGAATTGACGGCTGATTGTTAATTGCAAGAGACGTGCTTACCAAATTAATGATGAGCCTTTACGTTAACGAAACGAGATCTTCCGGACGAGTATCTTCCATATTTTTTGGAGATATTTGCGTGGATCGTTTAAAATGACCCTGTATATCTGTCAAATTGGAAGTGCGGTAAAGCATCCCACTTGTTTTTATCGGAGTAAATGTATAAAAAAAAAACAGTAAAAGTACATTTTTCTAGCGAATGAGAATTAATACATCACTCGTTTTGATAAATCTTGATTTTGTATTTCGAGGCTTATCGGAATCTGCTGTTTCGAATAAATATCTCGGCAATTACGCGGGATTACGCGTAATTATATCAACGTGCTCGCGCGCCCGCATGGTCTTTGTGTCGGTACCCTTCTGTTAATTTTGCAATCGTTTGCCCTTGATGAAAATCTGCACGATGAAAATCTCGTTGGACACGCGTCGTGCGTAACTTGCGCTCCAAATATCGGGGAGCTTGATTATGAAATTCTTAACATCGTAGACGCGAGGCCGTGTCCCGCGTTAAACGGGGCGAGATGCGTGCGCTTATGTGTCGTGCGAGATTCTGCACGCCTATATGGCATTTCTGCCGTGTGCATTGTCGAGACGCAATAATGAAAATTACTGCAATTATTCCCATGCGCCGCTCGCAGCCGCAGGTAACACAGTAAAGTACTCTTCGCGATTATGCAAACGCGTCAGTTAGTTCCGAGGGGAAATATCGGTAAAAGTTGCCGGCGCTCATTACTGCGCTCGCCGCACATATTAATATTACGATTTAAAGAAAGCCACGGGAAAGAAAATCAAACCATTATTATTTTTATTATCTATCCCCCCCCCTCCCTCGTGGCTTGACTTTATCATCTTTGTATTTAATTTACTTCTATATTACTTTTTACTATACACAGCTACGTCCATTACATTTACCTTTTACGATTTAACGCGGAGGATATCGCCATGCATTTTGAGTTTTGCCGACAGAGTCGAGCGTAAGAACAACCCTTTGTGACTTTTATTACGAGTCCCGTGACGCGAGACGCGTTGGCGGGATGTTATCCTGGCCTTAATTACTGCACTGCAGCCGGTCGCAAATGCCAAACGGAAAGCCGTGTCGTCTCGTCGGGACCAGGCGCGAGCGGCGCGCGAAACAACGCGAATTATTGCACGCGGATCGCCCGAGGCGATTGTGTAACGCGCGATTTTCAACTATCGACCGTGGCCGGACAGCTTCTCGGGGAGCCGCGCGAGATCCTCGGTGATGCGCGACAACGGCAGCCGCAGCTTCTGACCTTTGCGCCCCTAATTGTGCACACCCCACCGACGAATCTTCGTGATGAACGACGGGCCATCGATCGGTGCGTCGGCGTGCGAGATATTTGCATTCGGAGCACTTTTACGGCGGCGCGCTTATGAGAAATGCCACACGCTATTTTGAGGCTACGCGCTAATGAAAGTTTCAGCGATGACAATTAAACGCGCCGCTAATTGAAATGCTTGTATCGCCCCTTAGATCAGGGGCTCGATTTTTGAGTTCGAGGGTGAAACGTACGCGAAAATTCTGCTCGCACGGTAAAAGTTGAAGGTCGATCGGTTAAAAACCACGCGAATAGCCGATCAACCTGCAACCTTTCTGTAAGGGCAGAACTTTCGCATACGTTTCTCCGTCGAATGAATTCAAGAATCGAGCCCCTGGATCTTCGGTTCTGTCTCATTCTATCTATTATGTTATGTTCGTGGTTTAACACATACATACGGTCAATATAGAACATGGATTTTTTAAAGGTCGGCTTGCGGTTTTCTCATTTAGTAAATAAAGTATTGATCAGCGTATTAATTTTGCTTTGATATGACATAATAAATTTTAATAAATTAACACGTAATTCAGTTTTAATTAATGTGTCAAAGCGGAGTCATAAGAGTTTTGAAAATTATAAGAGAGGATGTGGGAAAAGGATAAATTCAAATAAATACGGTGATAAATTCGTGTGCATTTTTATTCGCGATTAAATTATTTACAATCTCTGACACGAGAGCGCCGTGGCATTTTGTCTGCGGAGCATCGGCGAGCTCACTGCGATTTATTAAAGGCATTTCCGAGGCTATCGTTGTACGCACATCTATTTTCGCGTATAAAGCGATAGTTCGATACTGCGCACGTAAATAACGCGTAATACCCGCCATATTGCGCCTCGACGAAAATTGCATGTTTGTCTCGCGGCGCGAAAAACCCCGGAATCGAACGCACGCACGCACGCGTCGCACGCGTACACGTACGCGCGCGTACACGCGCGTACACACGCACGTGCCTACCTCACTTTCTGTGCCCTAATTGCATTTGCCGCGATATATGTACGCGGCCGGTGCGGCGAATGCGGAGCTCTAAGTGCATCGTCGTCGTTGTGATGTTACACGCCGCCGC